ATTTACCGGAAAACGAAAACGAAACAAGGATATTATTTAATTTTTTCTTATTTTACTCAAGATAAATCCATGCCATAAATTTATGAACTCACAAAAAGTTAAAACCCCGAACATCTGCACAGCGATCAACGTATAAACACGCACCTTCGCTTCTGTTGCAATTTTACAAAGGTTGGTCGGCAGAGATACATTTGGAACAAAATTTTTTCTTGTTAATTAATAATCTATTTTCATATTATTATTTTTAAATTTTTTTTTTTATTAACGTATTTTGAAAATATTTGACAAGATTGTGATAAATATGAAAATTACTTAGTCGCTATATTTATAAGGTTAATGTTTTTATGTTGTTTTGGCATCGTTTAGGAGTTAAGCGAGTTAGGAAATTAAAATTTATGAAAGAATTAATTTTCGAGGGGAAAAAAGGAGTAGCATTTTTTTACATCCATTAATTTAAGAAAATTTTAATTTAATATTTTATATATATTTTTTTAATGAGAATTCAGATATACATTTTGAGGTGTGTTTTTTTTTTAATTAGAAGAAATTGATTTCTAAAACCGTATTGGGGCCTACATCCTAGTGTTTCGCCCTATAGGAGTGTCTCCGCAATCTTCAAATGGTGTCCTTAAGAGGCACTACAACAACAATTCTCACGCGGCGCCCCAACAACAACTCTCATGTGGCGCCCCAACAACAACTCTCATGTGGCGACCCAAAAACGTTCACGTGGCGGCCCAACAACAATTATCACATGGCGCCCCAACAATCTGTTTGTAGAGACCGCAAAACTTTATAATAATTCACTAGCCCAGCTGTACATCTTCATTAAACCAGATATTATGACGCACAACATATTTAATTAAGAAAATATTTCAGTTTTAAATGACCCAATGATGCTGAAGTATTCAAGTTGTACATTGCCAAATACTTAGTTTGTAGATTAAAATATGACGTACAACTCATGACACCTGTGATTTAACTTGTAAATGACCCAATGATGCTAAAATATTCAAGTTGCACATTACCAAATATTTAGCTTGTTGATTAAAATATGTCGTACAACTCCCATGACACCTGTGATTTTCTACTCAGACGGTTATAAAGGTGAGATCTGATCTGTCAGCTGAAGTTCGGTCTGGTCGTGACTAAGGGGGAAAACCCACACATTCCCCTTTAACACAGCTGTAAGGTCACGTGGTACACAAGCAGGTTAAAATAAGGGGGAGGGGCGTGATACATCACTTTTAAAAAAATCCCCCTGTCAAATATGTAGAATATATTCATAGACTTCCTGGAGGGCTTAATTAATTATCTTTTAATTAATGAAGTCCACCCAGGTACAACTTTGAACCAACGATTCACGTAAGTTCAGGTATAGTAGAGCTGAGACCTTACAAGATTCGCATTGTGCTATAGACCATCCTTGACCCACAGGTGAGTTCTCCCTAGGTACAACTTCCAAAAGGCAACCTCTAGGTCAGTCAGATAACTTATAGCATAAGATAACTTACCAAGACGTTAAAAAGTATGCAGCATTTTTTTTAAAGTCTCTAACACCCAATATGTTGGTAAGGCGAGTGCATCACCAGTTGATTAATTCTATTTTTTTTTTTTTTGTATAATATCTTCAATATTTCTTCATTAGAATTACAAAAGCAAATTTTTAAAAGTTGAAAATTGAGAGAGAAAAAAACGTTTGTACATATTATTTTTCTTCGAGCCGACAAGTTATTCACTTTTTTAATGCACTAATGTCTATCTTTTGGCAAAATTGTTTTCTGTATTTAGACAAACCCGATATCTCCTATCTCTAGGTAAACATGTTTGCGATACGCTTTTAATAAGCCCGTGTCTACATCCGGGCTACAACTAGTATAGTAAGTGAAGCTGGCGTTGTAAATCATGAGCCTTTTGCGTCATCAGATGGCGTCGTAGAACCCCCCCCCCCTCCCCCCCCCCCCCCCCAGTTGACGTCCTACATACCTTTATTTAATTATCTTGAACCTTTGGTTAATGAATAATTATCGGCATCGGTTGTTAACGACCAACAATTAGCGCTTGATTACTAATCAGAAAGCACTCATTTGCATGAAGAACAGCATGCATATTTGACCCAGTAAGTAGATCTACGATTCTTTTATCCTAAATTATCGATTACATCATAGATTGAGACTTTAAAAAAAATACATTCAATGATCGAGTAGACCTACATTGAAACAAGAATATTTAATTTAAATTTCTTTTTTTTTACAATAATATGTTGAAATGATCAAGAATTATTTTTTTTTTTATCTAACACATTTAGATTTCATTATATTTTCGACTTATATTATTTTCAATATATTATTGACTACACTGTCACTGCAAAATGTAATATTTATTATATTAAAATACGATAAAAAATCGACTTGCGCATATTATGTAAAGTTTCTATTTCACGTTAAAAAAGACTTGGTAAAAAAAATGTTCCAAAGTTAGCCCCAGGTGTTATGTGTGAGAAACACCCAGGTCATTAACCGCTGCATGTCAGTCATATCATCACAACATCTGTAAGGCAATGGCCAGGTTATGTAAACATGCACGCATGGAGCTTCATTCAAACCATAAAAAAATATTCTGCGCTTACGGTTAACTGGAAGGGAGGGAGAGGAGGGGTGATGAATATTCTGACAGGGTTGCACTCAATAGGTTCACACAATAAAGCGCAATTAATTAGCCTGATTACACGATTAATTAACTACTTGTAAGTTCTCACGGTTTTTATGTTTTAAAGGGCGAGGGGAGTCACGTGCTTTGCGCGCAGGGTCAAAATGGCGACGTTTGAATGTTATTTTTAGTTCCAGATGTTGTTGTGATCGACTGGGAGAAATATAAGGGGAGACAAATCTCACCCACTTCCTGTTGTGGAGAGTTATGGTTGGTCGCAATTGTTGTTTTAATCCAATGCCGTTTTTTGCTAATCAAAGCAGACTGTCCAACTAAAGGCCATTAGTATAATTCAAGTCGTTTGTCGACCATAAGCCATTGGTCAACTACAAATCAGTGGTCAAACATAAACCATGGGACAACCAAAAGACATTGGTTAATAACAATTTGGTTGGTCAACTAAAATCCAGTGGTCACTCGTGGACTCAGTCCCTACCCAACGACAAGCCTTAGGGTCACCTACAATCCACTGGTCCAACAACCACTGGACACCTACAATCCATTGGTCCAACAACCACTGGACACCTACAATCTATTAGTACATCCACCACTGATCAACTACAATCCATTAGTCCATCCAACACTGGTCAACTACAATCTATTGGTCCAACAACCACTGGACACCCACAATCCATTATCCCATCCACCACTGGTCAACTACAATCCATTGGTCCAACAACCACTGGACACCCACAATCCATGAGTCCATCCACCACTGGTCAACTACAATCTATTGGTCACCCAGAACTCATCGGTCCACTCATCACGGGTCACCTACAGTTCAATCTCCAACCACAACCAACCAGTCGTCATCCCAACCACCTAAATAAAACTAAACCCCCACCCATATAACCCTGTAGCCAGCTCCAATGACTCACTTTGTAACAACTCAACATCCAACAAAAACATAATGCTTAGATCAACATCCAACAAAAGCGTAATGTTTGAATCAATACACGAAGGCACGAATGCAGGTCGAAGCCAGAAGCGAGGTAAACTGACCCCCACAATCCATTGCTTTAGTCAACACCATCCTCACAGAAAAAACATATTGACCTGCGTAGAATTGCCGTTAAATAAAGATTTTAACATAACCACCAGCAATAAAAGGAACAAAATTTTTGCAAGGATTGGAATTCGATATCTGAGAGAGATCGTGTAATTACGTGAAATATGGCCAATTTAATGTTTCCCCCCAGTCGAGTAGAGTTACACGCCCCTGTCATGCGCAAGATCAGACCGGAAGGTGACTCATGCCGAGTGTACCTCGTCAAGTCTCGTCCACCAACTGTCAACATCTGTATCCCATCGTCTTGTCACTCGTGTGGGAATTTTTTTTATTTTTATTTTAAACTGCTTGACAACGAGACAGGTTAACAGACTGAACAGGTAAAATACTGCACAGGTAAAAAAAAAACAGGTAAAAATAATGAATGATGTTGGACGTGTGCACCTGAGCATCAAATTTAAACTCTAAAAATACGATACCTTTAGAACCACATTCCCCAAACTTGCAAAAAAATATAATCATCACAGGTATAATCACATAGGTAACCAGGCATTCGTTATTGTTACAACAGGTGAGAGCAATAGGTAACCTAGTGTGTGTTGGGGGGGGGGGGGGGGTATTTTTGAAAAAAAATGCTAAAAATCAATACATCATTGTAATAAGGTCCTATTTTTAAAAATTATCTGTATGTGCAAGAGTTGGGGTCGAAAATAAGATCCGTGGTCGGAATATGAGGTCGCAGTTCAGAGCTTAAGTCGGAGTTTAGGGTCGTATAAATGACGGGATCGAAGTTTAGGTCGCAGTTAGGAGCTGGGGTTTAAGGTCGTAGGTAGATATGGGATCGGAGTTGGGGTCATAGGTAGGCTATCTGCAGGGGTCGGATATTGGTATCTGATGTTGAAGAGATGAAGTGAAAAAAAAGGTTATTTGACATGAAGTGCAAAAGATGAATGTAGTTCTCAATATGTTACGTCAGCATACTGTATCCCATTCTTGAGCTAGCGAGAGACACCCATTCTCAGAAGGTAATTTTTTTTTGTTAAAATGACGTTTTGGTTATTAGCGAATCACCAATAAATCGTTTTGGTTTTTAGCGAATCACCAATAAATCGTTTTGGTTTTTAGCGAATCACCAATGAATCAAAGAATTATCTCATCTGGTCATCGAGCGCTACACAAAACAGAGAAACGGCTAACAAGAAAACATAACGCCAAGGGTTGAAAACATAACTAACAAGAGAAGACAACAACAAATAAGGGAAGATAACTGATTTAAACTCACCCGTCTCCATCTTGATAGTTGATGTTCAGTTTTTTATTTCCGATCAGTTCTGAAAAAAGAAAATGGAAGTGGTTTAAAAATGTATCAGTAATTACTACACCTTTAAGTAAAAATAAAATTAAAATAAGTTAATGACAGGGAAACATTATAGAAACGGAAAATGAGCTAAAATATTTTAACCAAACACTAAAAACTATTCAGTAATCCTTAAATCCATTTTTTAAAATCATAAACAAATGATCATCAAGCTAACGTAGGTTTATTTTACTAGTGCTAGTTCTAGCAATGAAATAAACTTTTAAAAAGCCAATGTTATGTCGAGATGCGTGGCGATGAAGCGCTTGTAGCGAGGAAAGGGTTAACATAAACTTTACGTTTTTCAACAAGTCTTTTTTATAAACAACTAAAATTCCTCGACGTTTTACGGTAACAGCATCTTTACCATGCGTCCAGCATAATTTAAATTCCAGCGAAGTAGAATTACAGTAATCGGATTTAGACGAATTATTTACAGACGATAATTCAAGAAACGAGAATTGACCACAAGTTATCTAGTAACTGACCAGGGATGACCATTAGAATTCTCACAGAGTTTACAATTTCCTTATTTGCCCTGACTACATGTTCTGAGTAATGACCCTTAAGGATCAGTTTCCTGTAAGGGGGAGTGAAGCGCGGGCAGGAAAGATGGAAATAAAAGCAGGAAAAAAAAGTTGAAGGATTCTCCCAGCTGGGCCTTCTCGTGTGGCTCTCATAACCATGCGAGACAACCGAGAGGAGCCAGAGGGCCGCGAGTGGTCTCGCTCGGCGGTGCCAAATTAACGTACGTGTAATGTAGGGAATCGGACACGTTTTGCTGGTCATTCGGGAGCGGCAGCGGCCCAGAGTGGCCATCACGCAGGGGCCATGATGTCCGTGACAGTGCACAGACACAGGGGGCGCCACATACACACACACAGGGGGCGCCGCACACACACAGGGGGCGCCACACACACACACACAGGGGGCGCCACACACACATTCACATCTCTAGCGTGATGATGTTTGTGAAGGTTTATTTCCAAGCAAAGGAAAAACATATCCGCGAAACTTGCACCCTTAAACTACTCGTGTGATTCTGAGTTCTTGTCGAAAAGCTTTAACACAAAGCATCCCAGAAAAACGGAAAAAGTACCCGCAATAAAATTTTTTTATCTCGTAACCAAAATTTTCAAAAATTATCTTACTGGCACAATAATTATGGACATACATCACAGAAAAGGTAACCTATTAAATATACTAGAAAAAAGTATCCCAAAGACACCCCCCAGCCCCCCACCTCCAAAAAATAGTATCACGTCCCTAGTGACCAAAACTGACTTGATCTACAAGCTAAATTGACAATTCTTGAAATAAGAATAAATGGGACAGCAACAAGAAGTATTTTTGTACTCAAGAAGAAAAACTACTTATATTACGAGACTAAGTCGAGTGGCGCGGTTTGGGGGCGCCGAGTTTCCAATAAAATAAAATTGCAGCCCCATTTGTCCAATTGTCCAGAACACAGAAATGTAACAATGCTGGAAACAGCGACTAAATCCATATATTAGGTTTTTAATTAAATGTTTAAAAATTAATGGTCAGGGTGGTGGTGGGGGGGGGGGTGAATTAGATGGATATTAATCAGCCAAAAACAAACTGTCTTTGTGAAGTTAAAAAAAAATTTATTACAGTTAACAACAATGGTCTTGTACTCACCACACCATTAAATTTAATGAATATTTTAAGAGACGATAATTAGAGACGATGTAATTGCTACTTTCATTATCCCCGCCCCTCCCCCATGGGACCATGTATTTGCCAGTAACACAGTAACTACGCAACATTTTTTGGGGTTAAAAGTTCGGATTACGCTTTGAAAACTTGGGTAATTAGTTTATTTGTTCTGAAACGCCAAGGACTAATTATCATTGGCTTACGAGGCGAATAATTACAGGCTTTTGACTTAATCCGGTGGGCGGGAGCCTCATCAATTTAGTTATTAAGGGATAGAAAAGTTGGAACTTCTGAACAATAAGTCTCTATTTCAGTGGAATTTTAACACTATCCCACCCTTCCGCCTCTTCCCTGTCTACAACCACAAACGCAAGTCAGTTCCTTTCGATTACACACCTACCCACGCCCCGACAACCACACAATGATATCCCGACTAGAACCAAAAAACGTACCCTACCCCCTCCCAAACTTAAATTCAACCACCATCTCCCACACTTACATACCGGTTACAAAACACACAAATCACATTTCAGCAGCCCCCCTAGCCTCAAACTACACACACACAGCCCAGACACAACCACACGTGTACCCCACAGCCACACATGTGTACTCCACACCCCTACTTGTCACCCCAATTTATTCCCTAAAAAAGGAAGAACAGAAGCCCATAACAAAGGAAAGCTCAGGGCCAACAAAAAGACAGATGGATTGACCACGGAAAACCTACACCACTCGACACCCCCCAATAACAACGCCTCTATTGCCAGTGAACGATTGGCCGAGTGTAATGCACGCGCTGCTCAGTCATTGGTTAGTCTGACTTTGACAAACGACTCTAATACAATTCCTTTATAACATAAAACGCCCCTGCCACCAAATCGATCTACGCTCAAATGAATATAAATTACCATTTTCTTTTGTTTACATAAACCCTGATAACCAAATATATTTTCATTAAAGTGTAATATTTACTTTTTTAAACAAATATTTGCTGCCTTTCAGCTTTAATCTACCCTCGCGATAAGGTTCACGTTTTGATGACCAAATCACTCGTCATTAAACTTAAGAATAATGTTAAATATGTCAAAGAGTTGTGACTTAAATTTACATGGCCAAAAGGACTTTCAGAAGAGAAAAATATAAGTAATCGAATTTTTTTTTTATTCCTCCCTTGTTTCAACTCGCTTATCATCCACATTCTTTGTTTTTAAACCACAGTTATGACTATTACAATAGTTAACGCAATGCATTTAATGCTCAGTGTATCTTGATTAACTGACCCAGTACACACATACTGTATAAACAACATGCACAAGCCCTTTTATTCAGGGCAATGTGCATCAATACTGTGTACACAGACTATTGGTTCAATATAAACACCACTTATAAACAATTTATGAAGTAAGATAGTTTTTTTACCGGGAACAAAACATGTTACTTAACCCATGCTCGTATCTAAATCCTTATCGATCACTCACAGAGGCAGCTGTCGCGTGTGACGATAGTATTGAGAGGTTAATGATAACTTGGAGTACTAGCAGCAGATGAAAGAAAATATTCAAATGTAGAGCATTGGGGCGGGGTGGGGGAGTTTTATAAATGGTTGTACATCACTGAGGTGGTGACATCGATAGTTTTAAAACGCTCTACACACCACCGAGACAACATCGATTTGTAAGGTTAATATAGCTGGAGGCTATTTCAGTGAAGGAAAAGTGAACTTAAGAAAAATCAATTAACACAAATGTACTTACTAGACTTTAAACAAGATACAAGTATGTATAATACGTAAAAAGAGACACGTATTAATTTGACAAGAGACACCGAGGATAAATATCGTTTCGTGTAGTTTAAATTACGTGCATAGACCGCCTCTTCACCTATCTATCTAGTACCTACACACTACCCACTGTTTCAATTACCAGCCCACCCACCACTCATACTAGCCACCGATCATTTACATCACCCAACCACCATTTCATTTACCCACCTCAATACTTCATCTACCACCCCCACACACTTCAACTACCCACCCATTCCACTTCAACTACGCAACAATATAACAACCTACCCACAACCCTTCACTCGCACTACCCACCCACCCACCACTCCAACCCCCCTTCCCACAAGGCGACAGGAAACCTGAAACCGATATTTGTGCATTAAATTGGTCTAGCTCAGGGGTCTCCAAACTACGGCCCGCGGGCCGGATGCGGCCCGCGAAGTCCTCTCATCCGGCCCGCGGAGATCTTTTTGTCCAAGGAAAAATCGTTTGTTGGTGATGGCTGAGGGACTTTGCCCAGAAAAATCAAAGACATGCCTGGAAGAAACTGGCCCCCGAACTGAAATTTGATAGTTAATCCGGCCCGCGGACTGAAAAGTTTGGAGACCCCTGGTCTAGCTGGAGGCGACATTTTTTTAACACTTGCCCCAACTCCCTTCTAGAATTTGAAGCACTCGTAAAAAAATTAACCCTCGTATTTTTAAAGTGAGGCTAACACAAAAACAGCTCGGTGGCCATGTAAAACTTTTAATCAATGGGTAATTATGCCTACATTTTTTAGCTTAAAGATTTAATGTGGTCAAGCAATATTTTTGTCTATGTCTTTATCAATATTTATAAAGCCATTTTGTGGTTAAGCCTATTGTTATGGCTTCCATTTACAACACACACAAGCACACGCACACATTATATATATATATATATATATATATATATATATATATATATATATATATATATATATATATATCTTAACATAACATGTTCTCATGTTTCATATAAAAAAAGAAGAAACTCCTGAGAAATGTGAAATTTCCAAAGAGATCAACGATCAATTATTTACAATTTAAAATGCATGTATTTTAAAGACACGCGAAACCCAACAGTTATTTCCTACATTTTTTGTTGTTTAAAAAACCGAGAAGAACATGTTATTTAAATACGTGTTATTTTAGGGATAGAAAAACGAAATGCAGCGTAATTATTGCATAGGAGATGCACGAGGAAACTCCGAGGGGCGTAACTAAGCGCGAGCTATGACGCATGGGTGGCGTCAGAGTGTAAATGTATACGTTATTCCAAACACTTGCAGGAACACTTCTGTTTATTTGACTATACTTGATAAAATCTAAAGCGATTATTTTAAACTTTGTTAAATGTGTAAGATAATATTAAAAAATAATACTTCCTCGTTGGCAGATTATACTAACAGCGTGTGGGTAATGTTGGCAAGAGTGATGGGTTTACGTAATTATTACACGAAAACTGGCGAAATTTATTTTTTGACTTGC